CGCCATGCGATCTCTTCCTGCAGGACTACAAAGGTGGTCTACTAAACATTGTGTGGGCATGTGCGGCACAGGCAAATTTAAAGTTCTATGGGGTCTGGAGACATCAGCAGCTTGCCCACGCTGCGGCAACTTCGAGGATCATCTGCATGTTCCCCACTGCCGCGCTGCTTCGGCAAGAGCTGAATGGGATCGTCGCACTGCAGCCTTCTCCGCGTGGCTTGACCTGCAACTGACGGGCCCTTCCATCAAAATAGCGATCCTACAGCTTCTTCAGGGCGTTCGCACACCTCCTTCATTTCCTCGAAGGACCATCTCCTCTTCGGTTCGGCCGGCCTTCTTGGCTCAGCAGGTGATTGGGTCTCAAGGCCTTTTGGAGGGATGCATCGCCTTGTCTTGGCTTCCACTCCAACAACAACATTATGACAAGATCAGATGTTGTCGATCTGTCTCTCTTTGGGCGTCCCGCCTCTCACAACAGCTGATCTCCATCGGCTTCTACATGTGGGAGCAACGGAACTCCGTTCAACATTCGGATGATAACATACAATTACGTGAACGTCACAGTACTGTCAATGAGGGGTTTCACTCACAGTTTGATATGGGTCCCGATGACTTACCTAAGGAAATTCAACCGATGCTGACATGCCGTCAACAAGTCCTTTGCAAGTTATTGGTAGACAAGGAAGAGTGGCTTAAGTTGCTTTGTCAGGAACGCAGAGATTTCCGTCGCTCCATGAAAGCACAACGCCGCAGTCTGCGGACTATTTTCTCCCCTGGACCCTGACCAACGTTTTGCGGGACCTTACATGCCCCGAATTTACCCTGCCACGTCGCGGGAGAAGTCTTTACCCCTTTGGGAGACTTGAGCAACTTCTGTTCAAAAATACAGATGCCTCACATGGCTCAAACTTGTTGTTGACTCACCGCTTCACAGTACTTGACCTTTACAGCCAAATATTTCACCGGCAATCGAATGCCCATAGAGTAGCATATTAACGATTAATGTCTCAGTTATTATTATTATTGTTGCCAGGAGGAGGAGTGGTATTGCCAGAGCGGTCAATCGATCAGCTGCAGCAGCACGGCCTTTACCTCAGCAGCATATGCAGCAACAAGCAGCAGATCACAGCACACTATTGCAATGGCTTCCAAACAATCCAACTTTCAATCCTGTGCATGCTTCAACGACCGATGGTTTTTTGACTCCAAATCAATTTGCCTTGACTCCGAATCCATGTGCCTTTTTCACGAATCAATCCACACCACATAGCCGGACTGTTTGCAAGTCCAGATGCTTTCCGAATTACCCTTTCAATTGCCCAAGATTTGCAGGATACCTTGAGCGGTCCAAGTCCGGTTCAGTGGTTGGGAGACCACCTCACGATCTATGGTGCCCAAAGGTGCAGGGTTACTACTACAAGTATGGGGAGAATTAAAATGCTAGATGCAGTATCAAAATGATTGATTCATTATAGTAGTAGCACTAGTAATATTTGCTTCATCTGCGTTTATTGTACCATGGATTGAGAACAATTCTTTGTTGGAGGAGTGATGTCATACCGGTACTACAGTTAGTTTTTTGGAGAACTTGAGACAAGTTTAAAAAGTGTATAGCTTGCAAGATTTCTGATTGGCTGAGCTACTTCACTCATTCAATTCAGTCAACCACGTTTTGTTCCATGTAGTCAAAATTATATTGAACTGGAAGTTCAAGAACAACAGATGATTGGTCAACCAAGCTATGTTGCGAGTCTTGCAGAATGTCTTTTGCGTATATAAAAAGACATGTCTTATCAACAGAACCCCCCTGTCAACCCCCTGCTAAATTTATAATTTCTCTATGTTTTCTTGATCGCCCCCCTAATAAGCATCCATTCGTTTTTCTACAGTCATGAAGGATTGAATATGCTATGAGAACACGAGGTGGAAAAAGGAATCTCCCCTCTTCTTTTTTTCCTCTCCTTTTTCCTTTTTTTCTTTACCCCCAAGCCACATGAACCCCCCAAATTTTGGCTCATATTTCATAAATGGGGTTGGGTATTTTTGAAAACCGCCGTATAAATCGTACCACCTCTACGTGTCGTCAGCTTTCCTAATACAGTAAGGGTACCCTGTTCAGAGGTTTTTCTTTAAGAGAAACACCCCCTAAGAGACAAATTTTGCTGAGACAAAAATTTCACGGTCCGTCTGTCACCCATACCATTTCATCCCCATGTGTCTGTCCTTCGTCTGCAAACCGGCCTTTCTGGGGGAGATGCAGCAGAAGGATTTGTTACAGCAGAGTGGCGAGAAAGATATCACAGTTGAGGCTATTCTTGCTCCAACAGGGGATTCCCCTAATGATTCAGATGATTCGGACACTGAGGAAGAGGTGTTGTGTCGTCCTTTGGATCAATGCTAACAGGAGAAGGCTCCAAAAACTGCTTAGGAAGCATTGAATGTATAAAGCGGCCAGTGCAGCACCAGATCTAAAATGTACCTTAAAGATTGTGGTAGTTTTCTTATCAAACTTGGTTCAATTGTTACCTGAAACTGCAAATTTTCTTCTCCAGGGGGGCTCTGCCCCCCCTAGATACCCCCCGCAAGGCTCCGCCCTTGACCCGCTGGGGGCTGCCCCCAGACCCCCAATGCGCTGGGGGCGAAGCCCCCAGACCCCCCTTTAATAAGAGTGGAACCGCCTTAAGAGACATTTTGCGCTATCGCACAATACTCTCTTAAAAGGGTACCCTTACTGTATCGTAAAATTGTAAAATCAAGAGAAAATAAAGGAGGGACGAAATGCGAAACACCCTACAAGTACAGTTCCGAATAGATCCAGTGACGACTTTTAGAAACGAAAGAAACTAATTACTGATGACGCGGTAAAACTGAAAACTGTTTTCACACGGGGATATCCTGGAAATCCCGGGGGAAAAGGGAACTTTAAGGGAACTTTTAGGGAACTTTCAGGGAACCTTGAGAGAAGTTTTTACGGAACTTTTGGGAGATTAATTGAGACTCCCCAAATGCTGTCCCTACTTTCCCATCTTGCAAAGAAAATGTTATACTTTTCAAATTGTGAATTATTATTATGCCATTGGCATCGGTTTTGGACAATCCAATTCTATCAACAAGGGCACTCTTCACTGTCAATAGCCTACAATGAATACTGGAGCGACTGATAATGCTGGACAATAGTAGTTGAAGGATTAGAGAACCAGCGATGCAAAAAAAGGAGCCCAAGCAACCTACCAAGGACAGTGCTGGAGAGACATCACCGAAAACATGGACCCAAACCATGTCTACTAGCAGATGGGCAATGACGTACATTCGGCCAAAAAGTCTTGTTTAGAACAAGGTCTTTGTCTTCGTTCACTGGATGGTCACATCTATTATTCAAGAAACCAACAGCCCCAAAGTTCTCGAGTTCAAGATTTGGGCTAGAACTCGGCGGCAGGAGAACTTCAACGAGAGATTGAAACGTTTTGACACTATTGGAACTCGTTTTCGTTAGACTATGGACAAGCATGAAGTCGTTTAGACTGACTTTCTCGTTTTGATTCAATACGATATTGAGAATGACCGTCCTTTGAATAGCGTCATCTACTATAGTGCAATTCTCTTTTATTTGTGTCAGGATATTGATATACGGTAGAATTGCTCGGCCGCGCGTAGGAGGCGCTTTTGCTTGTATGGTACACAGTTGACAATGTAGTTTGTCTTTTGAGGGAATATTGTTTCGCAAAAGTTCCCTGAAAGTTCCCTAAAAGTTCCCTGAAAGTTCCCTAAAAATTCCCTAAAAGTCCCTGAAAGTTCCCTATAAGTACCCGGGAAATTCCCTAAAAGTACCCGGGAAGTACCCTAAAAATCCCCGGGAAGTTCCCTGTGTCCGTCCGGACAAACGGGTCATGATAAAACGTTCGTCTTTTCCGCGCTGAAACACGAAATTTCGATGATCGGAGAATCTCGAAATACACGTTTTTGCCACACGGTCCGGATGGAAATAAGCGGTTGCAAAACTTTGACGGTGTTCCATAAGATTTGTGGTTCGCAAGTACTTAGGGCAAACAGACACGGAGACACCAAACAGTCTCTCAATCCATCCAAATAAATAACACAAAACACGTTCCGTTTCTGTAGAGCGAAGGCGTTTCTCCTTCTCACGTCCTTCGCCGGACAATTTAATAGTAGTGCTTCTCCGGCTGCGGACCACAATTCAATCATGCATACTGTTTCAATTTCAACTCCATAGCAATAACATCATCATCACCACAATACTACGGCACCGTACAATCATGAATACAACAATAGCAACAACAACAGCAGCAACAACAATAGATGAGAATTACGAATTTAGAGCCTTGACAGACCTTCAAAAGAAGCTGTTGGCAATTCTTCCAATTCCATCGTCTCTGTTGAGCATATTCGGCTCATCCATCATTATTGTCACGGTGTGGAAGGTGCGAAAGCAAAAGGCATGGATTCCGTATCAGCGTTTGTTGCTGGCCATGAGTGTGTGTGATATTGTATCCTCATTGACGCTGGCCGTTGGGGCCTTTTTGTATCCACAAGAAACCTCTGACAAAGTATGGGTGAGTCAAAGAATATTAACTGTGAACTGTGCACAGCGATGATGTATGCATGTATGCATGCATGTATGTATGCTTTGATGTGATGTGATGTGATGTGATGTGATGTGATGTGATGTGATGTGATGTGATGTGATGTGATGTGATGTGACTATGTTTGTCATTCGATTATGTCAATGAATGAATTTCATCTGACAGTTTCTTTTTGCCATTGATTCATTAATTCATTCATTTTCATCTCTGAACTTAACTTAATTTATTATATTTTATATCAGGTCATTGGAAACGATGCTTCCTGTTCCGCCATTGGTTTTCTCAATCAAATAAGCTATTCAGGGACACTGTACAATGGTTTTCTCAGCTTTTACTTTTTGTTCACGGCCCGGTTTGGAATGAAGAATCGACAGATTGAGAAACGAATAGAACCTGCCATGCACCTCTTTGCCATTGGGTTTCCCATCATTACGGCCTTGGTCGGCCTCGTTATGGACTTTTATGCGGAACCTGAGGTGCGTACCTACTACTATTGTTATGATTCCTATAGCAGTGGTGTGTAATTGTGTGTTTTGGTGTGGAATACATTCAATATGGAATTTGGATTGCTGACTATATATTGTCATTATACTTGTATTGTTCTAATATTATTGTTTTTTAAAATTGCATAAAGGTTGGGATTGGATGCTGGGTCAATCGATGGCCAAAACAATGTGGGGAAGGTCCAGATGGTACTGGGGAAGAGTGCCAATCACCAATGATCGCTTGGGTATTCGGTGCTTGGATTGCACTATTTGTATTGGGGGCCCTCATTGTCAACAATGCTGTGATTTGGGTCTTTGTGCACCAACGGACGAGGGGTAATGTCCACCACCACCACCACCACCAAGGGGCAATTAGAAAAGTACCATCGCAAAAATTAGATAGACATGACGAGACAAGTGATTCCAACTCGCATCACTCCGATGATGAGGAAACCAGAACCAGTGGGAGGAATAGTCAAATGGGGTTGCTTTCAATGGCGTCGTCCTTTCGTACGCTGAACAGTACCGGTCGGGGGTCAGCTGGGAATCTCAGCGTATCCACAGCAGCGCAGCAACGAGAAATTCAAGCGACACAAAGCAAACGTTTGAAATTGGTGGGATCCCAAGCCTTTTTGTTTGTGGGATGTTACTTTGTGTCGAATATTTGGACCTACGTGTTACGGTTGTACGAATCCCGGACGACGGATTACATTGAAGAAAAGGAACTTCCCTACTCCTATTATTCCATATTGGTAACCCAAGCCGTCTTGCTGCCACTGCAAGGGCTGTTCAACATGATGGTCTTTATTCGACCAAAGTATTTGCGTTTGCGGTCCGAAAACCCATCCGAATCGAAATGGGCAATTGTGCATCGAGTCATTTTTGGGGAGGCCGCGAGAAGTGGTAATAATAGTGCCGATTTTGCCGAACGGTTCACTGGACAACGGTTGGATGTAAATGTTAACAAGGCTCCACTTGCGAATAAGGGCGTCTCATCACTCACCATTACTAGTGAAGTCGTTCCGCAGCAGGCCACTACTGAGAATAATGCTACCGAAGCTAATGTTGTGAGTGGAACAACAAATAAGCCAGTTCGATCCGTTGGTTACGGACTAGATGCCATTTTGGAAACTTCGGAGCGTGGAGAATCATCGAGCTTGAAAGCAAGCATGCGCAGTGAAACAAGCCCCAGAAGCAACAAGGTGCCTCGGATACTGACCACTACAACCAGAACTGGAACTGGAACTGGAATTGGAATCGAACACAAGCAGCAACGGCATCAGCCAAGTCTGACGGCAAAAGCAACAACGATGCAAGAAGAGGCGCAGAGTCGGTCTTCCGAGTCGTCAATATTCATGCAGGGTACCGGATGGAGTGACAGCCTCGACTCGATGCCATCCTCCAGATCCTTGAAAGTGGAACCCATTATCCCGGAGGGTAGCGTGCCAAATATCTCATCAGCAGCAGCCACAATGCACACTAGTTGGAGTGATAGCCTCGGTTCCATGCCATCCTCCAGGTCATTGACAACTGGAGCCAGCAACCGATCTATATCAGATGGTTCTATTCCAAACATCGCAGCGGCGCGAATGCACACAGGGTGGAGTTCCAGTTCCGATGGTAACAAAGGAATGGCATCGATTCAGGGGACTGGGTCCAAGATTGAGATCTCTGGCGAGTTGGAATCACCCACCACGAATCGTTCTCCCCGTGTGTCAGCTTCTTCCTATCCATCGTTTCTTCATACTGGATGGAGCTCCAGTGTAGAATCCATGCCTGTCTCTGAAGATGGTGGGCGAGTGAACACTCGGACATCCATGAATGTGGACGCCAAGCGCAAACAGTTGGTGGAAATGCAATTCGTGGACGAAAGTGACGCTTCTTCCACCGACAGCAAAGACGACAATGACAGACCACATAGTAGTTCGCTGGATTTACAGGACTCGAAACAAATCGACCATGATCATGCCCCCAGCGATGCTACGGCTGCTACGGCTGCTGCTGGAAGCAAAACTTGCGGTGATGCTGAAGGCAAAGCTGCAGCAATCCAAGAGGAAGATGTCCGCATGAGCTTCTTGATGCCAACGGGATGGAGTCTTGATAACATGCCACTCTGCACCGAAGAAGAAGAAGAAACCACAAATAAGCCTAGATCTTCTCGAGAGACTCCTACTGGTACAGAACAACCATCTGTAACGGCGATTTTGATGGATGGTTCCTTCCGAAGCCTATAGCAGTGTAATTATTAGATGAAAAATGTCAAGGATTAATATTCCGGTGCATGTATTCCTATTGCTACGAAGCTATTTGACCTGTTGCATCATAGCAGTGTATTGTAATAAAAGGATTCTTGCAGGATGGAAGAAGGACTACCGTATAGTGTAATAATAATAATTTGGTTTTACCGTAATATCGTGTGAATGCGGTACAGGTAGAGCAAACTTTGCCTAAAGGGACTCGTTCACTTGTTCCAGATACTTTTCCGACAGATCTTTTCTCTTTTTGCAAATAGCAATCATCTTGGGTTTTGAACTCACATGTTTGACGCCATTTTCGGCGAGCAGTTTCAAGACTTCCATTTGACCAGTGAGTGCCGCCAAGTCGACTGCCGTTCTGCCCTTGGAGTCAACAGCGTTTTTATCCCCTTCTTCAGTGGCAATCTCTTCCAACACCTCTTTGATGACATCTACATCCCCATACTTGACGGCACCGTGCAGAGAGAGCTTGTATTCGTCCTCCACAGATAAGACAGCGTCAGGGAAAATGGGTTTGGACACTACGGCTTTGTATGAGTTGTCGAGTCCCGGTGGCGTTGGTCTTGACCTCCGCTTTGGTGGTGGTTTTGACAATATTTCACGAATTTGCGGCCCCTTGGCATGGTATGGTTGGACCACGTCGGAAGGAGTTTTACCACTGCTGTTGGTCGCATTGACATCCGCACCTCTCTCGACAAGCATCTTGACTAGTTCCAAATAACCCTTTTCACACGCTTCGTGCAATGGTGTCTGCCCATTATTGTCTTTGGCACGAACATAAGCGCCGTTCTCGAGAAGTGCCCTGACAATGTCCAAATGGTCGTCAAAACATGCCTTGTGCAATGGTGTCCATCTGTCATCGCTTTTGGCATTGACTTCGGCCCCTTGCTCTAAAAGCAATTTGACAATCTCCAAATGACCATTTTCACATGCCAAGTGCAATGGTGTTTCTTCGTCATCGTCTTTGGCATGAACGTCGGCCCGTTTCTCGAGTAGTACCTTGACGACTTCCGAATGACCGTTGGTGCACGCCCCATGCAATGCTGTCGCCCCATCATTGTCTTTGGCACGCACGTCCGCGCCTTTTTGGAGAAGCACCTTGGCCACCTCTGCATGGCCGTTATTGCAAGCCTTGTGCAACGGCGTCGATCCATTGTTGCTTTTGGCATGAAGATCAGCACCTTTTTCGACCGCAAGCCACTTGACCAACTCCAAGTGCCCCTGGAAGCATGCTCTTTGAAATGGTGTCCAACCATCATCGTCAATGGCAGCCAAGTCAGCGTCTTTCTCGAGAAGAACCTTGACAACGTTCAAATGACCGTTATGGCATGCCTTGTGCAAAGGCGTCGATCCATTGTTGTCTTTGGCACGAACATACGCACTCTTCTCGAGAAGCACTTTGGCCACGTCCACGTGCCCAGCAGAGCATGCCCAATGCATGGCTGTCCACCCATCGTCGTCTTTGGCACGAACGCCAGCGCCTTTCTCGAGGAGAGTCTTGACAATCTCCGCATGGCCGTTTTCACATGCCTGGTGCAAGACTGACTGTCCAGTAATATTGTCGTTGGCATTGGCATCGCCGCCTGCTCCCAACAACTCTTTCACACGAGAGGTATTTCCTTCCTTGATGGCTTTTACCATTAGCTCATTGCTGTTCTCACCCATATTATATTGTTTGGCTTGTTGTATATTATAAATTGATATAATACTATTTTAATATTGATAGCACTGTAGTTTTTGATGAAAATATTTTATAAAATGATTTGACAACAGCACATCATCACGCACATGCTACTGTATGCATCCATTTTTTGGTCGTAGAGAATATATGATGAGCGTGAGACAACAGCCTTTGCGGAAGAACTATGACGTACTTACTCACCTTGAGTACCGCGATGGAAGTAACCTTATGTACATCATATATATAAAGTGGAAAAAATAGCCACGCTGATTATTGGAGATGGCACCTGGGACTGACTCGTACACCTGTACACGTACCGTATTCGATCAGACGCACCCTTTTCTCTTTGATCAGTCTTGAGTCCCGGTGACTTCTCAATATATATATATCGTGAGCAAAAAGATTTGGCCGAATGCTGCACAAAATACGGGACAAACAAATCTGGTCTGGTTTGACGCGACGAATACGAACCCATCAATCCTGAATTTATCGTGAGCAAAACGCTGGAAGTCAAATTCCCGCTCGCGCGCATGCACGGCAACAGAAAAGTTTTGTAATTCACCAATTTGCCGACGACTTTTGATTTTACATGACCGCGCTTTTAATATTTCACCTCTGCTATTTTATGAAAAGCAACGACGAGGACAACAAGTACCCAACTTGTATCTGTGACCGTTGCAATAAGTATCTTGTCACAAGGAGGATGGGCGCATTCTTGGCAGAAACCAGAGTCACATTCAGTGACTCAAAAGGAATTCTCGCGTCTCGGACGCTTCAAATACTTTCATCCTCCAACAATCAGCTGGCATGTGCATCTTATGTATATGTATATTCCCATGGAAAGAAACTGATGGTGTTTTACCATACGTAACGTGACTGACTGGACTGCTGAGTCCCGAGCAGATATATTAGAGCGATCGAAGGCCAACGGTCGTCGCCAATCTCAAGCCCAAGATCAATCATCTATCATCTACTCACAGCTGCTTCAGACCCCCGTAAATACACCCCAATAGCAATATCAATCACCGTCTATCATGTCCAACAGTAGCTACATCAATGCACTAGTACGCTCTCTCCACGATGAGAGTCAGGAGCACAACGTTGTCACGTTAAGCATATTCGTTCCATGACGCAGCTTAAAAGTCTCAAAGTAGATTCCTAAAATGTAAACATGAATATTCTAAAGTATGGACATGGTATATATTTGTCACTAATGATATTTAGGACTAGGAGCAGCTTCTCGAAAATGGAACAATTGTGTCTCCTGTTTCAAAATCTCCGGCTGTTGGATTATTGCGTCGACCGACTGCCCGAGACTCGCTGGGGTAATAGAAGTGGGACGCACTTGTAGCAACCAGCCCGGTCCATATCTCAGCTCCATTGCGACACTGTCGCACATTGAAAAAAGCCAAATTTATATCTCGGGTCGATACAGAGCAAGATGTGGCACAATCTCCAAAGGTGGGGAATTCAAATGCCTGCTCCCAGTCGCTGTTGTCAAAGAAAAAGTAGCTTCCGGCTGCAACGCTGGTCGTTTTATACTTGGTGGCATCCGCTGCTGTAATAGGAACTGGACTCGTAAAGGAAGATCGAATTGCCTTGGGACATGCCATATTCGGAGGCAGCAGATAGTCTCCTTGTTCAAAATCACCAGTGGTACTGCCAGAAACACGGCGGGCATGCAAATAACCCCCGTGATAGGTCTGTAGGGGCCATGTTTGGATATCTGCAGAATAGACTTGCTGCCCGTTCCTGCAGACTATCGCTGGAGTCTGAGCGTCTGCTGATCTAGGATCAAATCCAAAGGTTGCTTCCCATTCTTCATACTTGTAAAGAAAGTATTTCCCTTGACCCGACAGACTGTTGGCATTAAAGCTGCTTCGCCAGTCGACATTTGGAGTAACGTATCGAGGGACGATAACATCGCCAGTCTCCTGTTGACAAACAAAAGAAAGTGAAGGGTTAGAACCGACCACATGAATACAAACATAGCATGATACCAACAATATGATACCAACAAATTTCGGCTTACCCACTGTCCAATGGCTGAGTTCGAATAAGGATTGCGTCTCCCAGACTCAAATCCAACCGGTATATCGGATCTACTACCGCCATGAGTCCAAGCAATCATCTGCCCCTGCCAAATGACTTGATCATTTCGTCGTTGCTCAGCATTCAATACCGCGCTTGCAGGATATGCTGGAGGAAGTGATCCAAAGACAGCCTCCCAGTCATTTGGAACATACAGGAAATATTGACCAATATCGTCGCCTATGTTGACTTCATTTTCCCAATCGCCATACACCGGGACGCCTTGTCCATCAAACGCAAATGTTGGCCGGTCGGTAGGTGCCACTGTTGGAACCACAGATGGCTGTTGCGTGGGACCTTTTGAGGGCTGTTGTGACGGAGCTCGGGTAGGTCTCAAGGAGGGCGTTGTCGTTGGTCTTGAAGATGGAGACTGCGAGGGCATCTTCGTTGGACTTGGAGTCGGAGACACTGTGGGTACCTTGGAAGGGCTTGGCGTTGGAGGTGGCGAGGGGCCGGGAAAGGGAGCGAATGTAGGATTAGATGAAGGTTCTGCAGGTGGAAGTCCTGTTGGAGTGACACTAGGAGTCGCAGTGGGGAACACCGTTGGAGGTGGCGAAGGGCCCACCACGGGTGCATCTGTCGGGTTGCTGGAAGGAGACATTGATGGTGGTGGAATGCTGGGTGGTGTTTTGGAATCTGTGGGTTCTGTCGGATCTGTTGGTTGGGAAACACTAGTAGGGGCATCCGATGGACTAGCAGGAACCCCAGCGGAGTTTCCAGTATCAGGACTGTCGGTACCCGTAGGTGCATTTGTGCTTGCAGGAACATTAGTTGGGGGAAGTCCTTTGTCAGGACTGTTGGTAGGTGCAGTTGTTGTACTAATAGAAGCAGCGGAAGAGGCAGTATCATTGCTGCTGCTATTCAATCCAAAGACAAGACCCACAGCTCCTCCAACCAGGACAAGAAGAACAATCAACCAAAACCAGGCTTTGCAGTAAAATGGTGTTGGCGTGGCTGCAAGTTTCTCATCGGCTTGCTCTTGATCCCTGGCTGACTCTGCTGCCTCATTTGATGCGAACAGAGTCGCACTCATTGCAGGAGCCATACAGCAGGTGCCATCAACAGCATACTCCTCTTGCTTTGCGGGCTCATCTTCAATATCAATCGCAGCAGCCATTGGAATAATCTCTTCATCCTCAGCAGCACTGGTAGTCTTCTTCTGATCCAAAGTCGCTGCTGAAGGCGTTACTGCAGCCATTGCTGCCTTTTCCTTGATCTTACGGTTCCGCTCACGTTGGGCTGTATTAGAGCCACCTGTGCTTCTGGAGGAGGAGTTTTGCGAATTCTTTTCTTTGCGCTTTTTTGATCGCTCACGAGCATCATCTTCCTTATTCTTGGTTTCTGAAACAGCTCCTGGTACCACAGGACCGCTCCCAGTACGACGAGCTCGTCCCTTTTGCCTTGCATCGCTACTGTTCTTTTCTGCAACGACACCAGGATTCACAGGAGGATCATTGCGGTTGCGACGACCCCTGGCTTTTTCTTTTGCATCGCGATCACTGCGTCTTTGAGAGCTTGAGCCACCACCACTTGTTGTTGTTCTGGCTCCTCGACTCTTGGCCCTTCGGTCTTCCTCTTGACGCTTTTTGCGTCTTTCCTCTTTGGATGTCTCTTGCTCAGCTGAGTGTTGCATTTTGCTTGGATGTTACACGGTGTACCGGTACTGTCTTGTTGTTCCAACTTGTGGTTATCGCGGTTGGTATTTTTTTGACTATATATACAGCTGCGGTATATTCGCTGTACGTATATTTTATGTCTGGAGATGACTGCCTCATCACTGCAGGTGTTGGCTAGCGAAGGACGGACTGATCAGAACGCCCAAGTAAGTAGGCAAAGAAGGTACAGTAGCAGGACAGTGGAAAGCTACGTACCAAATAGGTTGTGAAAGAAGTTGGTGAATGAGCTGCAGCTCAGCAAGACGGGGGGTAATTTTCACAAAAGGCGGCCTCCGGACAGACGGGGCTACTGCTGTGAGCGGGATCTCTAGTAGTCAATTCCCACTTGGACTGCTCGTCCAGCCGTTAAAAACTAGCGATGCTGTTTGTCAAAATAGACCTCGCGAAAACACGCCTGCCAGTATATCCATCAACGGTCAACGGATGAATGATCACCAATAAAGTCGACAAATGAAACCTTTGTTGCCATATTAGCTTCCGGTGGAGAAATAAAGTTTTTTTTTCTCCACGGTGGAGAAATAATTTTTTTTTCCTCCACGGTGGAGAAATAATTTTTTTCTTCTCCACGGTGGAGAAAACAGCTTCCGGTGGAGAAATGACACCCCCAAGTCTTCCCCAAACGTAACCTACTTCAACAATCATAATGAGAATTGACGTTTCCGAAGAAGTCTTCTTCCACCTTGGGGGGCTGGCACACTGCCTTCATGCTCCATCACGAATCAGTAGCACCTGCAAGGAAACTAATGAAAAGCGATTCAAGGATGCCTACTTTGCAACGGCAAAATCAGTCCATGACATCTTCTTGGGCATTCAACATCCTGATCTTGGCCGCAAAAGGATAAAGAACCCAAAGCCTACGCATCTCCTGTTGGCTTTGCGGTTCTTGAAGCAGTATCCTACAAAAGAAACCCTGGCTGGGTTTGGAGGGGTGACAGAGAAGACTGCATTGCTTCGTTGTTGGAAGTATGTTGAAGCCATTCAAGCTCTCAAAGAACAAAAGGTAAGGAGGTTGGAAATTGCTTTGTCATCGCTGCGTTGCTGGTGATTCTTCTCAATCATTTTTCTTTCTAAACTTTTAGATTGTATGGCTATTTGGTGACACTGAGAAATATCAAGAAGTGTGTGTAGCTTCTGTTGATGGGGTTCATTTTTGCATTTGGGAACCAAGGAAATTCCCTTCTGCAAAATGGTATTCTCCTAAGTACAAGAAGGCAGGTCTTGCTTACGAAATTGGAGTTGCAGTTCACCACAACAAAATTGTGTGGGTGAATGGACCATTTCCAGCAGGCGAAAATGACAAAAAGATTTTTGATAAGCCTGACGGTCTAAGATCAAAACTAAAGGATGGACAACAATGTGTTGCAGACCAAGGATATAGGGGCAATCTTGATAAAGTTGTGATTTGCAACTCCCGTCATGATTCACAGACTAAAGACGTGATGGAAAGAGCCAAAGCAAGACAAGAATCAGTCAACAGTAGATTGAAAAACTTCCGGGTGCTCAGAATGCCCTTCCGCACTGTTGGGGCACAGCGTCTCCGCAAACACAAGACCGTTTTGGAGGCATGCCTTGTAATCATTCAGTTCGAATTGGACAATGAAAGCCGCCTAATGAAAGTTTAGATATATGTCATTATTAGTCCTATTACTTGCTTCTTCAATAGTATTTCACATCTCCTAGTTGTTATGCAGTGCGTTGCATCGAATCGGCATCGCAGAAACAATGTTGACTAGATAAAAGTGTCCGACTAAGGATCCATTTTTAAATCCAATGAATCCGGCCTAAATTGCACTCTTGATATTTTAATATATGCATGACGAAATATTATATTAATAGAAAATATAAAAAAATTCACGCACGTAGTATGTCACACTTCAGAATGCTTAGTCAGAACATGTTGCCACCAAATGATAGATATAAATATAAAGCATGTCACACTTCGGAATGCTGAGTGGCGCGCTATATATATACACCAAACAAACATAATGTGATACATAATCAAAACACACATACGTGTACCATCAACAACATATATTCTTTGAAAGCAGAAGCGGATTGGGATTTATCGCACTGCTTAGCCCACAAAAAAGGAAAATGTTTTCAATCGGAAATTGGAAAGATCATTAAATCTCATACTTCTCGTCAGCAACATCGCCACTATAGTATGCTGAACATAGGAGTTCACCAGCATTACTGGTTGTAACCTCCCGGAAGGAATAATTGTCGCCGGAAGTGCTGTTGTGTACATCACCAATAGCCTACCATCAGCTTTGTGAAAATTTGCGGTCCTCCATTGCTTGGCTGAAACTTCCAGAGGCTCAAGCATTACTGCTGGTGTTCAAAACATTTTTGTCTACTAGGGTTGGTATTGGCAAACACATCCATTTTGTACTACTGTTTATCGTCTACAATTTGCATATTTTATTCGTTGTTGAAATTATTGATGCCAATATTTGCAAACGCATTCTGAAGTTCCTCCATTTTGGCCTTTTCTGCCTCTTCAAGTGCAAGTTCAACAGCTTCTTGAATCTCTTTCTTCTTAGCCTGCTTCTTTTCCTTTTGAACCATCCAGTATGGTGTTTCCAGTAGAGATCTAGTCTCTTGATGGATATGCTTACGAAAAATTTGATAGTCAAACTTTTGATAGGATTTCCTTTTCAAAAAAAGCACTGAGGGATGGTAACGTTTGTGTCGTCCGTTTGCCACATCTTTCTTCAGGTGACGCTCAGCATCTGAACCGTGCCACTCCCAAGGAAGATCTTTTGCAAAAAGGTATAGGGCAGCATCGTGGTCAAGATCAGCCCTATCCTTCAGAGCCTAAGCCTTTTCTGTGTTGATACGATTCTTGAGACTTCTCCAATTGTTAACAAAGTTTGTCTTTGGAACTTTTCCATAGATTGTTTTTTGCAGAGCAACTACTTCATCATATGTCATGTCTGCAGTCGCTTTTCCTGAATCGTAGTCTTCTTCAAGCAGCTTTTTTGCAATTTCCCAGGCTGTTGGCCCTGATGCCTTCTTTCGTCGCCCCTGTTGGGGGTTGTCTTTGTTAGCCTTCATGCGCTCCTTCAAGGTTTTCCAGTTGTTGACAAAGTTGGTCCTCTTAACTTTCCCGTAGATTTCTGGGCGGAGGGCAATGACCTGATCGGGGGTCATGTCCACTATACCTTCTACAGCAAGGTAATCTTGCTCAAGCAAAGGCTTGGCACTTTGCCATTCTGGGCTACCTCTTGGCATGTTGATCTTTTGCTGACTGTTGAACAAATGGTGATAGAAAATGTATGATCGATGTTTGGAAACATGCTCAAAACGTGACCAAAACGATCGAAAAGCACGAATGATTTGAGCTGACCGTTGGATCGCCAGACGAGATAAATTCGGAACATATATATGCGGATTTCTCAGTCACCTCACTTTTTTTTAGACATCAGCCCTTTCAACATCGTCCGTATCAGCAATGAATCATTTCAATGGGAAAGAAGAATCTAGTAAAGGGGGGGGCAAAGGGTTTGTGGGACCAACCAAGAATGAAATGAAGCAGTGGTTCGAACAGTGCAAACAGGAGCATGAAGACAACGAGATTGCATTCAAGCATTGCTTTGCAGGCATGCAGATGTATGACATTTTGCCTGAGCCAAAGCCAGTTCACTTTGGGACCTTCATGATGGAGTACTTGGCTACTGCTCCGACTGACAGAAAATTTATTGAACTAGGTTATCGAATGCTCTACACGGATTTCAAGAAGTACACCCAGCAAGAGCAAGTCTACCAAGAAGAAGGCATTAATAATAATAAGAGTCTTGGCAAAACAAAAATAATAGAATATCAGTTATTTTCCACCATTGAGTCCCATGCGCAAAGTGTTGAAAAGATTACGAGCTCTGAATGGTTTTGTGGTTCCATCGTCATCTGGGCCTGCCTTTCTCTTCAAATGACTACGTTCCGACCCCATGGCAGTGTCACCTTCGCCTCCTTTCTCATGAGCATTGTTGTCAGATGAGCGATTTAAAGACTGCTTTGATTCCTCATGAGCCTCTTTTCCAAAGTTTTTTGCAGCAGCGTCCCACTTTTTCATGACTTCCTCTAATGATTCCTGTTCAGTGGTGCCACTTTGAGATGCTTCAGACGAAGTATCAGTGAATGAACTTGGAAGACTGACTGAGCCTACTGAGTTGTTGGGCGAGCTGGGACTTGAAGCAGCAGGAGGTGTTGCAGGAGGAGTATTAGGAAGTGCTGTGGTGAGTGGTCCTGGTGCGGCAGCAGAAGGGGGGGGCTGTAGTGGATCATCTGCCTTCCTCTTCAAATGACTTCGTTCCGACCCCATAGCAGTGTCACCGTCACCCCCTTTCTCATGAGCATTGTCAGAAGGGGGAGGTGCAGGACGAACAGGAGGAGGTGGTGGGGTGGATGGTGCAGCAGCTGGGGGCTGAGGAGGTGCTGACGAAGGAGCCGCTGGGGTTCTTGCGGGAGATTGTTTGTGGCCAAGTGCTACAACACGTGAAGAGAGAAAATATAAGGAATTGAGAACATGAATTGGTTTACTTTATATAGTCTTACATACCATTCAATAGTTGTGCTGCTTTGGACATCTTTGGTTTTTCCTTTGGCACATTGATTGGTCCACTAACTGTGGGATCAATATCAGTGCGAGCACAGTCAAAGAATACCCAGTGCTCAACTGGAGTTTTCAAATTTTTACTGTTCTTGATCTCTGAAGTATCATTATCGTATGGGATCATAGTCATTCTCAGTTCTTCTCCAACCGTATTTTCATCCTCAGAATTTTCATCATCTTCATGGAGGACGTTTGCAGATAATGGGATACTCCCAAAATCAATGACAATGCACTTGTTCTTTCTCATTGGCCCTCTATGGAAGCTATGACTCGAACCTTGCGGTATCGTGGAAAATTCCAAAAGGGACGGCCTGCAGAAGGGATTCAATCACAAAGTTAGCTTATTGATCATGCGCGAGACACGGAGAATCAGTCAAATCATACGTACCGTGGTTGATATTACGATGTATCTTGACTTGACCACACAACCAAAAAGAATTGTCTCAGTCTGGTTTTTAAAAACCAGAGGAGTTTGCACCGGTAGACCCACGACGAACCCAGAATGGAGAGTCTCCCCACCAAGCTTGTTTTTCTTTCCAGGAAGCATTTGGTTTGCTGGGAGGATCGTCAAATTTTCAAGTTTAATAGTTGGTGATGATCCCGAAGGGCCAGGTGTGTACGAAATCACTTGTGTATCATGGGGAAGGCCAAGCTCAAGCACGATATCATGATGCTCAAGCTTCACTTTTTTTAGGGGAGTTCCTGTCATAGTGTCGAAGACTCTCTTTTTTGATGGTGTTGTTGGAGGAGTGGTGGTGGTCGAAGCTGCTTTGTCGTGGTCGTCCTCGCTGAAGATTCCTTCTTCGTCGTCCTCGCTGAAGATTCCTTCGTCACTGTCGCTAAGAATCTCTTTTTCGTTGTTGTCAGTGCAAGAAGAACTAGTCCTTTTTAAGTATTCCTCTTGCAGCTTGCTGTCAACCTTCCCAACACAGATATCGATAAACTGTGACGGACTTTCTTGTGCCAGTTTCCTGAGATAGTTAAACCTGCTCCTTACTTTTTGCTCTGTCAAAACTACACCCTTTTCGTCTTGGTAATTCCAGTCGATGGAGGCCTTGAAGTGGTCAAGGGATTTGTCTTTGTCTTTTGACAGGAGATGATAGAGAATAGCAGTTTCTGCTTGGACTCCAATACGTGGCGTAGTTGCTGGCATGTTGTGTGGTCTTGGCTGGACGGGCACTTAGTTGATTGTTGTAGCTTCCATCGCTAAACCGTTTTGTTTGTGGCAATGCGAAAGTAGTCGTTGGGGCGCCCTGCGCTCCTATAGCATCAAGTCTTGTGTTTGATCGAGAGCAGGCTATGGTATTATCGTTTGTATCCTCTGCTAAAAATATTTGCAACGTTCATTTCCACCCATTCTCCATTTTGCTTTTCTATTCTTAAAACTTGTCCCCCAATTGTTTCTTTCCCCTGATGAAACCTTTTGGCTCCAGCTTCCGAATGGAGAAATAGAAAGTATTTTTCT